AAAAAAAAAAAGCCCTAAACAAGAAGAGTATGCCACCTGACTTCCTAATAAAGACAAATACCTAACCAAAACAAAGAAACACACAGAAAAAAGACCTCACAAGTTGTCATAAAGAACTGTTAATTTCACTATCAAAATTAGATCCAGGGTTGAGCCAATTTTGGTTGCCTGCAATATCCTCCATACCGAAATTCGCGTGTGGCAAGTTGTCCGAATGCGCTGCCCAACTCATAGTTTGGGGGTGAAATTGGCCACTACTATTTTCATTAGCAACCGTTTGGTGTCCATAGTCTTTACTGTAACATGGATCAGGAACTTCAGCACTCAAATCCTCCATGTTTGAGTAATTCGGAAGCTGGTTGTTATTGTAAATCAGCATCAGAAATTGTCGATCACAGGGATCGTTAAGGTTCAATACCAGATCTTTGTCTTGATGAGAAATGGTTGGACTCTCTAGGGACATTCTTGGTGAAGTAGTAGAAAACTGCCCTTGGATCATCATATTTTCCTGTTTTACATCTGCATAATTGTTCAGTTGTTGACCCCAAAGTTCCATACTTAGTGTACTTTCAGCTCCATTATTGAGGATGGGCTTATCTACAGGCAGAGAAAGATCCATAACTGCATCATAACGAAGTTCCAAAACATTTGAGATAACAAGGTCAGTAAAGTTTGAAGGTAAAAGATTCTCAGAGAATAAATATTTAATGATTTGTGCTTCCGAACAATATCATATCACATTTTATCCCTAGAGCTTATAAATTTTGCGGTCCTAAACTTAGAAATTATATAACTTTACAGTTTTTATAAACTTAACAAAGGGAATTTCTACTGACGTTTTATCCGCTGGATTGAGTTTCCAACAATAGGATCTAAAAATGAGAGCAATTCTATACTGTGTGCTACAAACTTTTAACGTGAATCGTCATAGATCAAGCTGTTGAAAAATTAATCCAAGAATTGAAACACTAATTCCTACCGACAGTGAAGAAGGACGATTTCTGCCATAAAATTCTAGATTTGGTGAGGAGAAAAGTCAGATGACCCTTTTAGTTCGAGGGTACAAAAGAGTTTAACCAAAAACAAAATTACCTGATGCTGGTGAGAAGTGATCAGAAGGAAAGGATGGTTGGGAGCAGACTGTTTGATACTCCTGCTGAGCTTGGATACTAGGAAGAGACATTGAGTCATTTGAATAATGCAGGTGGTAAAAAGTGTTCATTTGAGGCCCATTTCCATAGCAGTCAAAAGAAGCAGTAGTATCCACATAGTTCAAATCTTTCGAATATGGTGATTCTTGAAGAGAATTCATTTCTGGATCATTTCCATTGCAACCAAAAGAAAGAGTATT